TAAGTCTTCCATGCCCGTGTTCATATTCAATCCCCTGAACACTTCTATTGTGACTTCCTTTATCAATAAATCAGCCACTTAGTCTTCACTTCTACAATATCTCAATCTCAATGTTTCTTCACTAACAAGTTCTCTCAAGTAGTGAAACATCATCTCAATATGCTTGCTCCTCTCATGTGTAATTTCGTTCTTATCAAGGTTTATAGCAGAAACGTTATCAACCATGAGCGTTACATCTTCGCCTACATTGATGCCCAGCTCCTTCAATAGATTCATTAACCACACGACTTAGCACGCACACAACAAAGCAGCAATGTACTCCGCCTTACAAGACGAGAGTGCTACTATTGGTTCCTTCTTCGAACACTGTGAGATTGGTGTTCCACCGAATATAAAGATGTATCCATCTATATACTTTCTATCATCTTTATCTCTACACCAATTGGAATCGGTAAAATCGAACAAATTTCATTTTTTGTCTATTTTCGCTGCGGGAAACAGAATTCCACAGACAATAGATCCTTTGGCGTATCTTATAATCCTCTTGACTGTTGCCAAGGGAGACACCTTCGGTCACTCCATGAATATACTCATAATACCAATACTAAACGCCAAATCCACTCATGTAATGCACAAGTAACACAAGGATCTAATCAACCTCCTATACTAAGTTGGACTCGCCTCTTGCTCATCCTCATTCTTCGACAACTGTAGCCTCGTTTCAGCTAGAGTAATGGCAACATTACAATGCTCTATTTGAAACTTCTTCATAAACTCAAATGTATACCTTATTTGGCTCCCTCTTGAACTCTTTCATAAGCTCACTCTTGAACTTATAAATACACTTTCTGATGTTTCTCGTGATCAACAAATTGTCTATATATAGACTAAGTATAATCATCCATTCACTTATATCCTTATTTACATACACACCATGTTTGAATACACACTTCTTAAGGTCAATCTCCTTTAAGAAGCGATATATCCTTTTGATCCAACCTCTTAGAGATTGTTTCAAACCGTACAATATTTTCTTCAACTTGTAGAACTTTAAATCTTTGTTTCTCACGACAAAACCATAGGGTTGTTCTACATATACCTCTTCTTCAAGCAAAATCCGCTTAAAAACGCAGATTTCACATCCATTTGATAGATGGACCAATTATTGTTATTCATAATACTAACAACTAGTCTAATGGTTTCAATTCTAGCAATCGGTGCAAATACCTCTTCAAAGTTTATGCCTTCTCTTTGCAAAAATCCTTTTGTAATTAATTGAGCCTTATTCTTGATTATTTCACCCTTGGGATTTACCTTCACCTTATAGACTCATCTTATACCAATCGGCTTCTTTCCTTCTGGTAGATCAACTAACTCTTAAGTTTTGTTATTCTCAATGGATTACATCTCCTTTTTCATAGCACAAATCCATTTTGGATCACTCAAGGCCTCTTCCGTGTTAACGGATTCATATTTGGCCATAAGTGTAAAATGGACGAAATCACCATCATCATTGACTTTGTTGTCTCTGAACATCTCACAATCTTGGAGTATTAGAGGAAAACATATTTTCCTTGTTAATCTTCTTACATTCTCGTCAATTCGGCTTCGACGGGGGGCATTTCTGCATTATCAAACTCTGCAGAAACTGGATTTTCAATGGTGTAATCGGTTACAACTTTCTGGTAACCGTTTATAGGATGTTGCAGCTCTATTATCTCTTCAACAATGAAGTCTCAGTTGATCAAAAATCTTTTGTTTGTTGCACCATACAACTTGTAATCGCCGATAGAGTGATACCCTACAAGCATCATCAATTATCCCTTATCATCCAGCTTCTTTCTAAGCGGCCTCGAAACATGACAATACATTAAGGAATTGAAAACCATCAAGTGTTTCAGGTTCGGTTTAAATCCAGGTCATGCTTCCTACGGTTTTATCTTCTCAAACTTCTTTGTTGGACACCTATTCAACAAATATGCAGTCGTGGATACCACTTCTCCCTATAACTCTTTTAGAAATTTCTTCATTTTCAATATGATTCTCACCATATTCATAATTGATTGATTCTTCCTTTTGAAAACATTGTTTTGTTACGGTGTATAGGGGGTGCTACCTCGTGTATTATCCCCTCTTGATCACAGCCTCCTAAATTCATTTGATACATATTCGCTTCCACCATTCATTTTGAGAACTTTGAGCTTGTGACCACTTTTCCTCTCAACCATGGGCTCGAACTTATTAAACACTTTTAATACCTCATCTTTTCTCTTGATTAGGTATGTTCATATCTTTCTACTATAATCATCTACGAATGTGACAAAATATCTATTGCCACCAAACGAATTAACTTGCATCAATCCTTACACATCAGAATACACCACCTCAAGGTGATCCTTGGTTCTACAACTAGCATCATAGCTAAACTTACTTGTGTGTTTCTTCGCTTGCAAACACTTTTCATAAATCTCAGTTGGTCTGTTGATCAATGGTAGCCATGTTACCATTCTGTTCTTTTGCAATGCATTGAGATCTTGAAAATTGAGATGCCCAAGACGATAGTGCCATGTCCACTCTTCTCGACTAGCCGTAATAGCAAGACAGCTATGTTTTATAACCTTCAACTTAACCTTAAAAGTTCTATTGGCATCAATATGAGCTTTAAGGATTAAAACCCATTTTGCATCCATAATATGTAACGCCTTGTTCTCCGTATGAATCTTGTAACTCTTCTCAAGCAGTTGGCCAATACTTAATAGGTCACACTTGGTTTTGAGAATATACAACACATCTTTTATCAAATAATATCAACCATCCCTTCTCTCGATCGATACATCACTGGTCCCTTCCGTCGTTAGAGTGGTGTCATCCACAAACTTCACTTTTTTTTCATGACACGGTTGATTTTAACAAACCAATCATTCCTTCTCGCCATATGCATAGAACATCCAGAGTTCAAATATCATTGCTCACTACACTGAACCACTTCTCTCATAATCACCATTACGTTTTCTTCTACCTATAATCGATTACAGCTTTTACGTAACTGGTTACAACATGCTTCTACAGCTTTTCCAAAACTGATGTTACTGATGCATTCCCCTTCTATGATCATTACCAAGAGTGTGTTATCCTCATCAAACTCTTGCATTGCAACCTTGGCTTCATCCACTTGAGGTTCCTTCTTGTTCGTGTTGCACTCCCTTGCAAAATGATTAAACTTTTAACAAACAAAGTTGCCTTGACCGCCATTTTCTTGTAGTTGCTCTCACCCTTTTAACAAGCCTAATTCTTGGAACTTTTTGACTCTTTTCCATCAAAATTCTAAAAATTCTCTTTACTCTTCATGACCATTTTCCTTTCGACTTCTTGTATTTCTCATTTAAATGAGCTTGCAAAGTAATCACCGTTTTTGCCTTATTACTATTTCTTTCCTCCATCATTTGCTGATAAGCCTCAAAAGAGCTTTAAAGCTCCTCTTTGCTCATCGTCGCAAGATTTTTCGATTCCTCAATCGCCACGACTATGTTATCAAATCTTGTCATCAAATAAGGCAAGATTTTTGCAACAACATATTGCTCTGTGATTGTTTCTCCACATGCTTTTACTTGGTTCACCAACCGAGTATTTCTCATCGTGAAATTGTTGATTTTCTCACTTTCCTCCATTTGAACTAATTCAAGTTGACGTTTGTAAGTTTGTAACCTCACAATCTTCGCCTTGTCAGCCCTTGCATATGTCTTATCCAAAATTTCTCACGCTTGCTTTGATGATTCACAATCACAAACTTTCTCGAAGTTGTCACCATCCACACATTGATGGATCAAAAACAACGCCTTAAAATCTTTCTAATTTTCTTCATTGTGGGTAGCTCATTGTACATCTGCTGCACCTTTGACAATATGACTCATCTTGTTCTTGATCACTTCAAGAACATCTTGGTAGTCAAACACCACTTTCATTTGCTTGCACCATTTGTCACAATTCTTTGTATCGATAGGTTTATATGGATTCTTTGTATCGGTAGGTTTGTATGGATTCTTTCATGAGAGAGAGAGGAGAGAGAGAGGAGAGAGAGAGAGAGAGAGAGAGAGAGAGAGAGAGAGAGAGAGAGAGAGAGAGAGAGAGAGAGAGAGAGAGAGAGAGAGAGAGAATGCATTTACTTTTATTCATAATACCTCTAAGATATATATACAAATACAAGTGGATTGAGACACTAATAACAACCTAACATAAATTGAAATATTAAAATTGTATACTTGTAACACAAAATATGTAACTGGTCACTGCTCCTACAAAACTAAAAAACACATATGTGATAACCGGTTATTGTGAATGTATAATCAAATACACTAATAACAAACTCACTTATTTTAATTTATTTAACTTTTTCACTTGGTTATAATCGATTATATCCCTCGTGATAATCGATTACTAACACTTAAAGTATATATTTTCAATTAACAAACCGTACTACAATCTAATTTTCCTAAAGAAGGTCGACTCTTGTTACCCAAAGATTTTGAGAGAATAACTAGGCAACATGTCTTGTTGCAAAACCTATATGGATAAAAAAAAGGATTTTACTCGTGAAAAACGTTATATATCATTGATATATAAATTATAAATTAGATGAAAATATGAGTGTTAACTTAAGTTAAAAGAGTCACATACACAATTTCGTTAAGTTTGGAGTGAATATATCGTATTCAAATCACTTATGTTATGTTGTTTTTAACCCAATATCCAAAATTGTTTGATCAAAGTAAGAAAAAAAAGTTTACATGCCCAAATATTTTTCTTTTGAAATTGCGTTATTGAGTCCTATTCATGCCCCACATTAGTACATGAATGAGAATATAATTGTGAGCATCTGATGCTTGTTAGTGCTTACTTTGAAAAGCAAATATTCCACTTACCACATCGACATTTTTGTATGTGAGTTCTACCACATACATTTTAATTAACATCACAAAAAGTTCTATCATCTAAATTTCTGAATGGAACTTGAAGCTAACAATAGAGGAAGCAAATTCTCTTCATACGAAAGAGTAGCAGCCATAAGCTTAGTAGTTCTTGCAGTGGCTTCACCTCTTTACATAGATCATAGATCAGAGAGTGAGTTGGAAGACGATGAACAACCAATTAGTGTTGCTTTTTGGTTGCCTATGTTGCTTATTGTTTCGGTTTTAGTCATAGTTGTATCAGCTTTTTGGATAAGAGTTTCACAAGGTTTGATCGTATTGGATTCATAGAGTTGGTGGTTCTTCTGGTGGTATTGTTTTGATTCTTATTGTTCTCTTTTTTGTTTTGAAATGTAAAGCTTCTATGTAAGAATGTGGTATGCTCAAGCTGTGTTGTAGTTTAAGATTTCATGAACTTATTTTATACAGTTTGTGAAGAAAAAATACTAGAGCATGTTATTTCTATTAATATTGAGTGATTAACCATCGTATGTATTTTGTACACCTTAATAAGAAGTTTATATTTAACCTTTGAAGACCCAGTTTTTATCATCATAGGAAACATGTCCTCTTTCTTAGCAAAAATATTGGCTACATCCCAACAAAAGAAACACTAAAAACCTCTAAAAGAACCTAATACACGAGTAGCAGGTCATTAAGGCATGCGAAACAAAGCTAAGAGTAACGAAAATATGACTCTTGAAAATATATGGCTCGTATTTGTACACACCACAATTAAATTATAACTAATCTACACATAACTTGTGACTCTTATTTGTGCACACCACAGTTAAATTATAACTAATCTGCACTGAACTTCCAAACACTTAAGACAACCTAGGTGAAATGCATAGTAATATATCTTCAAAGATTTCAATCATGAGCAAGAGAGTATTACATTGAACTTCCACTATACTAGTTGTTGCCTCCATTAAAACTGGGGTGGCAAAAGAGAGTTTTACATTAAGCCTCCTCAATTAACAATGATGATTGTGATTTCACTGGCCTAAAACATGCAAATCTAGGGAGCAAATCTTCAATTTGATCGCTAAATCCATTAGCTATAGAAATATAAATTTTCTAAAATGTTTAAATTTATCAAGTTAATCCCTCAAGTATTTCCAAAAGAGGAGTGATAGTTCAGTGATTAATTTGACAAGTTAAAAATAATTTAAGGAAATGTTTATATTTCTATATTCGAGAGACCATGTAGGAGTAATAGTTTAAGAACCAAACTTTTTGGGAGATGAATTATATTTGAAAGTTCTGATGCTTATCTGGATATAGGGTTAACATATATTGCAATCTCAAAGTATAAAACATGATGGATTCTTCAAAATGAATGTAAATTGAAAATGTTGACTGGTGTAACTTGTTATTGTCATAAGTATAGGCCGTTTAAATGTAGGCTAATTTTGAGCTAAAGAATAAATAGCATATATAATGGGGTTGGTGGGGTTATCCTTAAAGTAAGTTAATGCACAATAATTGTCAATATACATTGATGTTAAAGAAACTTGCAATATAAAATATAACTGTCAATATGCCGCATCAGTCAGTACAAAAATTACAACATAAAATGCATTTGAAAGGATCAGGCATACACCTATTCTTCGCAAGAGAAAAGGTAATACAGACCACCACTTCAGAATAAAATATAAATTTACAACAATTAGAACAACCAGAACTTATTGTGGCAATGCATGAAGATAGCCTCATTTCTATATGCCAAACACACAACAATAATAACAATAATAAGTAAAACAATTTACAATACTATTAGGAAATAACCAGATTTATTGCCAAAAGTGTGCCTTCTCTCTCCAAGTAAACAAGCACCGCAAAACATCTTAGATCCTAAATCATGTTGAAGTTGACAGGCTGCTGTATATACGCTTCAAACCAGGACATGCAGCACGAAATCTTACCATGCTCGTTGAGCTTATCTGCAAAGCACCATAAAAACCTTAAATGAATGAAGAAAACGTGAAAAACAAGCATTCAAGCATCGGCATTTTGAATCATATAAAAGGCTCATTAACTGAAATCAACATTTCGTATCCACGCATTAGCTCTCACCTTAGGACAAAAGCGAACATCAAGAGTCTCCAACAAAGTGCACTTTGAAATAGCAGCCTCAACAGCTCCCTCGTCAATGTTGCACGACTAGATATCCAAAATTACCCCAACCCAAAAGACATTAGAAAGCAAATAAATATAGCTCAAAAATGGATCAATGGATGGGCTGCATGACTAAATTTAAATGATACAATTGACAATATTTCTGGTATCAGATTTATTTCTGTAGGACAAAGATCAACCTCATCCTAACATTTTTGAAGAAAAATGTATGAAGCCCATTACTGAAAAGGAGACAGAAAACAATACTTTTATAATTTTCTAAAACAATTACGATAACGGATGAAAATTGTAATCATAATGAAGTAAAATCAATGCTAGCAATACACTCTTAATACAATCTTTCCAACACACATACTCCTATTGGGTAAAATTCACTTGTTGAGTCACTAAATCATTAATCATATAGGTCTCAATCTGTTAGGTGAGAACCATTTCCTAAGTGGTAGGACTCACATGAATTTCACCCAGGAATAGAGAATGTGTTGCTAGAAGCATTTCTCGTGCAACAAAAAAATATATGAAACAGACATATTACCACAATAGATTTAATAGTATATTGCGAATTGCCAAAGAAACAACAATTATGATGTGCATGGATAAGTTTAAGTTGGCAGATAGGAATAATAACCTGAAGGAATAGATTGGTCAATCTTGGACACTCTAGCTTCAAAACTTCCAATGAGGACAGTGGCTGAACAAATAAGTCAAAACATTACCATCTGTTATGAGGACAGAAACAATCAACATTCATTTGAACAGTAAACAATACCTTAAATTAAGCCAGCATAGGTTGAGACAAGCTACGTCAACCTCCTTCAAATATGCGGACAGAGAAAGGTTTAAAAATAGTAAATGGGAACAATGTGCTGTTGATGGGATGAAAACCTTCCTAATGTTAGGACAACCCACACAGTTGAGGTTCTGAAGTAATCGGGTGGGTTGCTCGCTTGACACATGGGTATTTTCATAGGAACTTGCAATGGATAGGACACTTACGCCAGGTAACTCAGGAAACTTCTCTTGACTGTACCCCCAGTTTAAATCATGCATATTCTTACATCCATTCAAACTCACTCGTGTAAGGTGAGTGCAGCAAGAAAGAAGCTCTTCTATGGCTTTCTGACACAAAGTTCCATAAGACAAGTCCAACTCCTGAAGAGCTGGTAAAGCACCCCCTTTGTAAAGAGGTTCAAGTGATGAGTCAGTGAGATATTTGCATGCCTGTAACTTTAACACCTTCAAGAAACAAGAACGGCAGTCAGAAAAAAGACAGAATAAATATGTCTTTGTTTACATAACCTGTGGATCAAGGAATGTGCATTCCATAACCTGTGGATCAAGGAATGTACAAGTGTACAGTAAATAACATTGTATTTCATTAAACAAAATAATCTTAGAAGTTTAGCACACTATTCCTCCCACTCTTTTATGTCCCTTCTATCTTTTTTTCTAATCAGTGTCTGCATCTTCATTGTTTCAGGGGCAGGGAGCAATGGAAAACCAAATACAAGGTTTCTTCAAGTCCAAAAACATATAAAAAATAACAATTAACAAAGACTTCAAGAGATGGAAAACCATATATTCCAGGATATGCCATCAGCTCCAAATTATCACCAGTACAGTCATGTGTGTACCAATTAACATCATAACCACATTATGTGTTGATAAAAACCAAATTACATTAAACAATGGGGAAAATGAACCAAATTCAAGTTCACAAAGATTAGAGGGGAAAAGTAAAGGACTGTGAGTGACCTTGGATAGACATCTATTTAATCATTCAATAAGCTATTTTAGAGTTTTATTATATTAAAAACAACTTATGGACATGTCACATTATTTCCAATCGTATCCAATTCCAAACACCAAAACAAGTATCAAAATCCTGCGATAGGCACAAATAAGCTCTTCTAAATAAGTCGTGTGTGGGGTAATATCATAACTTCGCTAGGTTTATTAAACTAAATAACCACCACTTTTGTATATTTGTTTTGGGAATAGGAGGAGGAGGTTCTCCGCTACTAATATACTATTTGTAATATGCTAGACACTAAAAAAATATGCAAACTAAAATATATGATATTTTTACCTTTAGCTGTGAACAAGAGTCAAAAACAGGCTGCAGGTTCACCAAGAAAGTGTATGATAAGTCAAGAAGAGCTAAATTTGGGAGCCAGTGCAGGGAACAAAGTCCCTCTAACCCGATCGACGGGCATGACATCAATATTAATGACTCAATTAGTGGACATGCACGGGTTGTTGCAGACAAGCAATCATCAGTGAGTTGACTGTAATTCAAAATAACAAACATCAGTCCATACTCCATACAAGCAGGTTAACCAAGAAAATAACAAACAAAGCATTACCTGCAAAAGGAAGCATCAAGAGATGTCAAGAGAGGACAATTAAGGGATGCTTCAGACAGAACGCCACATCCTTTCAACTCTAGCGAGACCATTAGCATCGCTTCAATGCAGAGTATGTTTAGCTTTGGGCATATTCCTAAATTGAGAGATCGAAGACCAACCTAAGAAGCATGTGAAAAAAGGGAGCCACTTAGCTACTGAATATCATCATATCATTAAAACTCAACGTACAAGTTTTTCGTGTACACCTATGGTAATCAAGTTGAGATTCAAACCATGAATTGGAAGACCTAGTTTCCAAATCACATTCAAATCTTACTAAGTCGTTGGCTACACGAAGTTATTAAAAAGTAGTAGGTTGCACAAATTTCATGGGCAAGCCGGGACTCATCAGAAAGAATCAAGATTCATGGTCAAAATAGATACGAACAGTGATTTGAATCTATTGGGTTCAGTTTTATTCAAAATCAAAATATGACTTCAGTGTATCTAAATACTGATAACCGTGGTCCCAACACAATTACAAATCCCCAACACAAAAGCAACCTCTTGGACTGCAAATGTATGAACTATTACTTAAATCATGCAGATAGCTAAACACAGGCAAAAGATGTTAGACTATTATACTGTAGAATTAATTTCACATATTTCATCACATAATCAACTAAAAATGCAAGAAATAAAAAATTCAAGTGATAAAAATCAAAGTATAAGGTAACTAATGAATAAATATAACATACAGGGCAAAATGATGCATTTTCCAAATGATCACAACCATCCAAGATGACCTTCTCAAGATTAGGGCAGGTTAGCTCAAGAGTAGTAATTGCTCGGCAACCACCAAGAGAAAGACTGATTAATGAGGTGCTGTTGAAGCGAACTGAAGTCAAGCTCTACATGCAGCAAAAACCAAGTAGAATAAAAAAAAGTTAATATTAATACAAATATTAAAACATATCACCAACAAAATCCCAAGATATCAAAGAAACCTAATCTCTCACTCTCTCACACAAATACAAAAACCAGAAAAATTGAGACACGATCCCAAGGATTTTTCACAGCTAAAATATTTTTGATAGAGAAGCTGATATTGTGACAACTAATGATTCGTGTAATAATTTCAACTAAGCTCATGAATTTAAGTAATTCTTTAAATTGATACTATGAGTTTTGTGAGAATACCCTTTCAGAAACTTCAACCCATAGGTGAAAAAAAGTTACCCATAGGCAAAACTTCAATCCACAAGTTATGGCACAACTGAATTAGGTGATTATACAATTTATAATTTATAAAATGGATATCGAGTAAGAAAGCACCTATTTGATCAGTCAGAATATACTACAAACACAGCTCAAGAATAATCAAATTTTGGAAAGTAAATCAAGGAAATGCCTAAAAAAATTGTTCATATACCTCACAATTATCAAGAACTAGTGATTTCAACATAGGACATCCACCGTCATTACTAAAAACATCACATATAGAGTTTGTCAAGGATTCACACTCAGAGAGGTCCACTTCTTGTAAAGATTGGCATAGCAGTGCTAATGTAGTTAAGCTATCCTGCTTTTGCAATGCTAATTTCTGCATCACCATCAAGGTCATCATTGAGGGCTATACTCAATAGAATATATGAGAATGGGGAATAAAACAAAACATAATCAAAAGACATACTTGAAGTGAATTTGAAGTGATATTGATCCGATGGAGTACAGAGCAGTTAGACACTTGTATAGAAGAAAGCGATATAGCCCTCAAGTTTAAATCTGCTAATCTGCCATAGAAACCATTCAACAAATAAATTAGACACAACAATAAAAAATAAAAAATAAAGATTGAGTATTGTCTTAAACAGAGAGTACACAGGCAACAGAGAAAGACAGAATTTTAGTGCTTTTCTGGGGAGAAAGAAAATGAAAACGTAACATACTTGCGACAGTACACCAATCTAATATTTTGCAAACGTGGAAGATCCAACGACACTGAAGTCAATAGACTGCAATTGTCAAGCTCCAAAACCTGCATTGGCAGTGATATCATGCATTCATCCAAATACTTGGGAATAGACACTCCGTTAATATCTGGGACAAATAACATACCTCCAACATAGAACTATGAGCTATTGCAGCCATTGATGCAGAAGTGATGCCCTCGCAGCTATGAAGCCTTAGAATTGTCAACATTGGGAGTCGAACAGACTTCAAAGAGAAAAGTGACCATGTCAGACAAAGCGAGATACTCGGGTTCAAAATACAATCTTAATATTAATATGTACAGAGTAAGTATACACTTCAAAGCACACCTCCAAAGATATGTTTGGGCAATACGATGCATCAAGAAAACCAAGATTAGGACAATGTTGTGCTATTTCACGGAGTGTTTCATCGCTGACACAAGAACAATTACGCATGTCCAGAGACACTAATTGAGGACATGAAGTTGCAGCAGCACGAATAGCAGCATCAGGAAGTTTGTGGCAAGAGCCTATATCAAGTTCATGCAACAGAGGACAATTAAGAACAACTTGGGCCATGTTACTGCGCTTCAAGGACATAGTTTTAAGTTGTGGGCACCTGACAAAAGAACAAATGGTCACTTTTTCTCTTATCAAGAAAGTGTCAGCTAAATGTCAGACAAACTATGAGGCATATTCACCTGACTTGTATTCGCATAACACGACATTTTGTTAACTCAAGATGACACAGTCTCTCATGAACGACAGATATCTCCTGAATACTATTGCCAAGTGTAGAGTCATTGATATTCAATTTTCTCAACATAGAACAATCAGGTAGAGCAAGAAAAAAAGCATCCCCTATCTGTCCTCTTCCTAATGTCAAAACCTCAAGATTCCTGAAAATAATGAAGCAAATCAGATGGAGTCCAAGATGGCTTGATTCAGTGCAATGTCAAACAAAATACATACCTTAACAAAGATATAGCCTTCATGACCAGCAAATAAATAGAAGGTCCTGATATGCTCAATGCTGTAGCATTCGGATAACGCCTACACATGTCCTCAACTGTAATCACACGTGAAGCTTTGATTAAGCACATTTACATACTAAGGTTTAGAGTTTTACAGAAGCGGGACATAAAGTAATAACAAATCCCCAATTTCCAATACTCAAAATTGAATGTAAAAAGATTTTCTGCAAAAACATGTAAAAAAAACTAGGGTTCCATAGTTACGGGTACGGCGGTTTAAAAGGTCGAAAATTGGGAAAGATACTCAAATACACAAATAATAGTACAGTGTCATCATATATTATTATAAATACAGAAGAGAAAGCCACATATTTCACTACCAACAAAATACTAAAGAAAAACGGAGTACCACGAATACTCTACGCGTATCCATGCTTCAGAGCTAAAAACTTTCATAAATAATACAACATATACTCAAGAGCTCACATTGTTCTTCAGATATGTCCCGATTTTCAAAATTCAAATTCTTCCAGAAATCTTCATGAGTACTAGCAGCTCGCCACTGCTTACAAACTCTGGCAGCTCTGCAGAGATTTGTCTGATCCAGAAATGAGAAAACCTAAATTTCACAGGAAGAAAAAAGGAACATAAGAGAAAAATCATGGAGAAAAAAGAGACTCTAGATATCAATCGTGTAAACTCATTTAAAAGACATAAATGTTAGGAAAAAAACTAGTCTTTTCACATCGGCTTACCATATGCAACAGGTCATCCGTAAGATCCATCCTGACAACCTCTTGTTCTTCTAATTGTGAACTGTCACTATCATTCCCTTCCCTGTCTTCCACACCATTATCATCCTCACCAGTACACACCAACGCAAAATCTCCATAACAAGTGACATGACTAGGTCGGAGAGACGCATCGAAATCTCCATAATCCATAGAATATTTCACTTTACTAGACGATGTTGGGTCATCAAAGTTACACTCACTGCAAAACACAATCAATGGTCACAATCAAACTCACCAAAATTAACCCCTTTTCACTTCATTTCATTTTCCCAACACATACATTTTCACATAGCAATGCACGCGCACAAAAACAAGTAACTTACAAACAAAAAAAAATCTTTTTTGAAAATCCACGCGCACAATTAAACAAAAAAACTCACTTATAGAACTTAGCGCGCTTGTGAGACGAATCGCGGCTCTCATCAGCGACAGGACTCCCCGGAGCAACAGCGGCGTTTACTGAACTACTTTCTCCTTCTCCTTGTGTAACTTGCCACGAACCAAATGCATCTCTCCCATACTGAACAAATCCGGCGTCGAAATTCACGTCTTCACCTTCTTCCTCATCAAAAACGTTTCCGAAGTTGTCCTCGTCGTTGTTCATAGGTTCAACGAAATCACAGCTTTCCTCTTCTTCTTCTTTTTCCTTTTGGTTGAAGCATAGACAACACCAAAGATTCATGCACTTGAGGAAATTGAAGGCGAGTGTTGTTCACGAACCGTGTGTCTCGATCCCGCGCATTTCGAGGAAAGTTGAAGAAACCCTAACCGGCTCCGACGGTGGAAGCGATTTCGGAAACGGAGATGTTGATCGGTGAATTGAAGAGAGAGAGAGTTAGAGAGAGAAAGTGGGAGAGCAAGAGAGAGAGAAACAAGGAGGGTTTCAATAGATCTGATCAGATCTTGGAAGAAGCTGCTTTGAGTTTGTTGAGATGTTTTTTTGTGTTTGGTTTTCCTACTTTTTTGTTGCAAGAGAAATGACCATGTCAACGACGTCGTTTTTAATGTCTTTGCTTCACTTCACTGTTGATGTTTCTTTTCAAGTACATTATCAATGTTTGTGAATTTTATTTTCCAACCTCTATTCCTATTTATAACAAAAAAATTAACTTTTTTAATATATTGAATAATTAATACATTTAAATAATATATAGATTAAATATATTATTTATTTAATAAATTTAAATAATAAATATTAATTTACTATAATAATTACTTATTTAATTAATCATATTTATTGTCATTTTTATCTCGTCCTACTCATAATACATTGTTTATCCAATAAATCTTACTTATTGTCATTCATATTCTTTTTTATTGTAAATATTCTTATCTTTCTTTCTACACGATTTAATTAAAAATATTAATAAATTTAATAAATAAAAAATTTCAAAAATATTTTATTTATATATATATATATATATATATATATATATATATATATATATATATATATATATATATATATATATATATATATATATATATATATATATATATATATATATATATATATATATATATATATATATAAATTTTAATTTGCATATGTCTAAATATATTAAATTATCTTGATTTGTTAGACATATTTATTTTTCTTGTATATTTTGTAGAAAGAATTTTTGTTTGATGATTAATAATTTAATAAAATTATTTTATTATAAAAAAATAGATTATTTTACTGATATAATTTAAAATTCGTCTGAACTTTTAGATATATAATAAGATGATTATTTTTATTTGATTTGGAAATATATCCTATAATATTTTGTTCTAATCTTATTCATTGTCATTCCTATTCATTTTTTTGATATAAGCATTTGTAATCTTTTTTATCTATTTTAGATAAAGAGATCAACAAATTAAATAGATATATATTTCAAAAATATCATGTATATATTAATATGTGCAACTTTAATTTTGCATACTCTTAATATCAAATTAAAATATAAAATAAAATATTAAATTGTCTGGATCCGTTGAACATGTACATATTTTGTAACGACGTATGGATATTTCGTAAAGCGATCATAGGTTTGATAATTAAGTCCTGAAAATAAAATAGATATATAATATTGATAGTGATGGTACGAGAAATACTAACAAGTATCAATGAAACACTCTTTAAGTATTTAAAGTGGTAAGTTTTTTTAGAAATACGTGTATTTAATACATTGTAATTTAAAATTATTAACTTTTATAAAAAAATGTTTTTCATATTAAGTATTCTTAAAGAGTAGGACAATGGTTAGCATGACTTGTATTATATTCATATGTTGATTCCACGTATATTATCTATAAATATTGAATTGTGTCCATGCTTTATGACATGTAAATTAGTATGGTAAATACTATTTAATAATTGTTTTATTAGTCTAATTGAGGCATTAAAAAATTTATAATATTATATTAAAATTTAAACAATTATTATTTCTTATTAACACATATCATATAAATAAATTTGTAATAATTAATCATTTAATATTGTAAAAAAATCAAAAATCGTAATAACTACTAAAAAAATCAAAAGTCCTAATAGTTAATAATAAATTGTTAATTTAACTTGATATTAAAAAATTGATAGTAAAATTTTAATTTTAATTTTAATTTTTTAATGTTTTTACAAATATAGTCATCTATAACAACAATAAAATGTGCCAAGTAAATTTATTTGTTGAATTGAACTACTAATGATATTTTTTAAGATGATGTTGTGTTATTTCTTTTTTAAGATGATTTTACGTTATTTCTTTTTTCTTTTTACATAATTATCATTCTTTATTATTATATAAGAACCATTATAACATCGTTTATAATTGGCATAAAATTTGCAATCAATTTTCTTAACATCTGTATTAATTATAATTTTAAATTTGCATTTTATATTACCTTACAATTGATTACAATCAAATAATTTTTAAAAACCAGATGTGATATCCGCTATGGAAACATATGTTACTTCTATTTTTGCTGCTACGAACTACTTATATTTTTGGACGAAACAACTTATCTAATATTCAATGAATAAGTTTTTTTTTTAAAAACTTAATGTTGAATCTGAAAAAAGGAAAACAATGTATGTTTTCGTATCATATAATCATTTAATTAATAAAAAAACTTTCTTTTTACAACTACACAAATAATAATTCTAAAAAACATCAAAGGTTAAAACCAAATTATTATTTGATAATATCAAAATAATTAAAATTTTAAAATATAATTTTGACGGTTAATTGAATATAAAATAATAGCTATACTATTTTGTATGTGAAATTAATTTAGTAGTTTATAATAATTTGAAATATTGAATATAACCCTATAAATGGAAATTTGTATTCTTAATCATATAAATAACATAAAACCATAATAGTATAATTATAATTAAATATGCATTCATTTTTAATATTGACATGTAAAACTTAAATTGGTAATTGTATTTTTTTTAAAATTATTAATGATGGACTATGATTTTCAAAAGACGATAAAAATAAAATTGGGTTAGAGTTAGTGGCGTTTTGTGTGGGAACTAAGGTAAATTCATCCATAGGTTAATTTTAGAAAAAACAAAAGAAATTTTGTTTTAATTCATACAACATTTAATATATTTTTAAACCATTTCAATAGATAAGTTTTCAAGTTTATGAAATATATAAAGTTACACTGAGAAGATACACCTATTAAAGAAAAATATTAGGAATGCTAAGAATTGGACAAATTTATATGATATTATATAATAACAGTAACACAAATTTAAGAGATGAAACGTTGATATAATCTAAAATTTAAAAAGATTCAAATATCCTTTCAATTATCATAATAGAAATTCCATTGTATATATAGTCTAACAATATGATAAATTTCCATTGTGTAACTGAATAGAAATTCATCATTGAGAAGGACTAAGAAATAAATTATGAATGATCTTAATCTAGAGTTACCATACTATATCAAACTAGTATATTCGATTATTAAAAAGAAATCAAAGGAGGAAGTTGAAGCAAGGGTGTCAGTATAAGGAGATGTTTGTTAGGATTCAGATATTTCTTTTAATTAAATTTTGGAACTAATGCCTAAATATGTCAAGTTCATAAAGAAGTTTCTATCCTATAAAAAGAAGAAAAAAGTGAATAAGCAGGTAGATTTGATAGATAAACCTTATGGAGAAATTTGTCAAACTCAAAGTGAAATGTTTCTTTTCAAGTACCCTATCTATGTTTGTTAGTTTATTTTTAATTACATTTTTTACCTAGTTTTATAAAATTGAGATATCATTAAAATGTTTTAACACGAGTCGAATTTTATTTAATAAATATTCGCTTATTATTCATTAAGTGGTAAAAATTTGAGATTAAGTTATTAATTAACTTATCTCATAAAACAAGAGTCATCGTCGCACTTTATTGTTTCCAAAGGAATGGGAAAATAGCGACTAAAACTCACATAAGTTTTAAAACAAAACTAATAAAACAGAGAAATTTAGGTATGGAATTTGGTTATGCAAAGGGAATGTATTAACACCATAAACATCTATGGTACTCCATGAGAATCTCTTTGAAAATTCGTGTATTTGGCAAAAAAGAGTTGTTTGCAAAAAAGATTATGGAGATGAGAAAATAAATAGTTTTTATAATTTTGATTCGGCAAAACTTTAATGAGTTTTATGCTACCACCAATATGAAATAGCGAAATCAGAACCATATAGTTCTTCTTAAAAAATAACAAAATTATTTGTTGGTTAATTTTAAATGAAGGGACATTTTATCATCTTAAGAAGAATATTCAACCAAACCATCCATAAATATGAGACAGGTGGATATTTGTATCACAATGAAAGAAGGGCTAACTCTTTCAAGTGGAAAAGAATCAACATCATATCAATCAATAGCATGGACATGGAAGAATTACATCTCAATTATAGAGAGGACTCGTGTCTAATATTAAGAAAAAAATTAAAAACAAAATACACAAAGGCAAAAGAGTTTGAATGAGTTTTTATGTTTTTTAGTCTTTGAAGAAAAGAACTTGACTTTGATTAAATGGATTAAGGTTTGATTTAACAAAAAGGTTTTGAAAATGCACATGATAAAATCAAGATTTTTATTGAAAGTGGTTCAAGTTTAAAAAAATAAGAAGGTTTTGAAAAAGAGAGAAGATTTGAAAATTGAAGAAGATGGACAAGAGATGAAGGGACCATCCTAAAGCATAAAGTAAAGGCTAAGGTAGAAAAGATATGACCAAACAAAAAGCAAACTATAAGTCAACATATGCATCCATTCTCTTTGAATTAAGCCATACACACAAGCAAGTACTAAGCCTTAGATGAAAATTTAGTGCCTCAAATGCGAACTCAAGGTCTCGGCATCAGATGAATCACCAAAGAGTGCATATGACTTTTCATGTATCAGGTGATATCTTAGATGAAAGTTCTTGCATACAAAAAATTTCTTAACAAGCAGACAAAACACAAACACAACCAAGGCCTCAAATGAATCAAGATCACAAGGTCCAGATTAAAGTCCAGATCGAGATTATATCCTAAGTCAAAAAACTATAAACTCTATAATGCAAAGGGTAGTAACCATAGCTCAAGAGCCTTAGAATTTTTTTGAAGTGTTTGAGTATTTTAGTAATGTCTTTTAAGAAAGAAAAAAATGCTCAATGGGAAAAATAAAAAAAAAAGGC